TAAGTGATTTGTAACAGTAATTATTTATTCTTACTGATTGCGGTTTGTATATTACTGACTTACTGATTGCGAATAGATTCTGTTATTAGTTTATCTTATACTAATATTTGAAGCCTATCCATCCCGGGATCCAGCAGACTACCACGGATGGGGCCCAACAGGGCCGATGCTGATTCGGAGTCGCGGAGAACCTAACGGGTTACCGGGGCTCCGGCTCGACGTGCAGGAGAAGGAACGGGGTAGTTTTTAGTCAGTATGAGTCTGACACTCCCTCCCGTCTCACCCAGGCGGGAGCAGGCATTCGATGATTTTCCCCCCTAAAAAAAAAGTCCATCCCGGGATGGATAGGCCATACGCTCCGAAGGGGTCTGGATTATTGGAATCCCCAGGGAAATAAGGAAGCGTGGCTACCGTCGGCGTCGGCAAACCTGGCGTCGTACTGTGATAGCAGAAGCAGCGAGCATCAGAATGACGTGGAGCGAGGTGAAGCGAGAAGCTCAAGACCGATCGAGATGGAAAACTTCTGCCCCATCTAGGGGACATAGGACTATAAGTCAAGTTATTCATTATTTGGCTCTGAAGAGTTGATTCGTTTGAACGCGCTAATCTCAGGAACTACTAGACCGATATGAAAAATTCGTTTTGCGTTGGATAGTCCATTTAACGAGGATAGCTATAGGCTATAAAACATCACGCTACGATGAATAGGCGCCGAGCGGAGCGGGTAAAGCCGCGCAGAAGTAGCTAGGTAAAGGTGAGTATAGATTATATGTGTTTATGTTGAATTCACCAAATCTTGTAGGCTCTATTTTAATAGAGCCTACAAGATCAACTTTTCATAATAATGAGCCATATGGTAAATCAGGTCATATACATAATAATAGTGTAGATGACTAATTTTTATTTTAAAGTCCATCTGCTAGATTATTTAAAAACATTATACACGTATTTTTTATTTTCTTACGTTAACGAATAGTTTCGACGATTTATTGATTTGAAATATCACATGACGTCACTTTTGTGTAACTACGAGTTATACTTAAAAATGACGTAGCTACTTCCCACACCTAAACTTTGATTCTTTTAATCTAAGTATTGTTTTCTTATACGACAAAATAAAAAAATACGTGTCTAATATTTTTTCATTATCTACGGACTAATTAGATTTTCATACCCTGTGATCATCCCTAATGTCGAAAGAAGTTTGTTTTTATTTTTACCAGGCGAGATAGTGGTCAAACATCGCCCCATAAATTAAAAATAAAAATTCTTTAAATAAGTAGGTAAACACAAATTGAAAAACTTACAATACTAAATCACAATTCTGTCTTCATATAACAACACTTGTACAGGCTGTGTAAGCCTTTTTAAGTATTTTAAAACAATAAGTAGGTAAGGTATGCTTGATATTATGATAACTTAATAATGGATGTTATATATATGAAATAATTGTAATGATTCATGATGTCGAAAGAAGTAATATTTTACATCTTTGTGATTAAGTATCCATATAATTTGAACATTAAAAATTCAAAGAAAACGTCTATCACTGGACACGATACACAAATAGTATCATATATCCATTGGAGTTCAATCTCCACGAGACGTAATCCAGACACAAAACTTCAATCCAGTGTGAATTTCCAAACCATTGTTACAATAAACTGAATGGAATCACATCTCATCCTAATAGAATTACTAGCAAAACAAACCCACCCAAAATTCAAATATTCGATTCACCAAATTCACTTCAAATTTAAACCCTATTTTTACAACACTACAGATGTAAATTGAATAACACTCTAGGTCTCAGATGTTCCCTATAGACGGAAAATCGAGTTGTCTATCTAGGCTAGCTTCGTTTGTTGGAGTTGACGTCGACGCCCGTAGCAGGTAAGTACCGGATTGAAGTAGTTGAAACTGGTTCAAACTGGTTTTAAGCGGCTACAGTTAGTTCGTGACTAATTTGTGGCTGGTAATTTTAATGGTTAGAATTTGTAATGCAGGTATTATTTAGTTTCAATTAAATATACTGGAATAAGTTACTGGAAAAATGTCTGCCTCATTGGCAAGGGGTCTCAGGTTCGGTCGCCGGCCCGGCCAACGAGGCAGTCAAAGTAAAAATCTATTTATGTACTAAAAAGCAACTATCCACTTTCACTTACTTAATTGCTAAAGTTTCAAAACCCTTTACAAGAACTATTTAGAAAATCGAGTTTTTGTTAAGGCCAAACTTTTTGGACCTTCACTGAAATTGGGAACTGAAGACCGTACTGAAGAAAACACTTTATATCCTACAATTTTTCTTCATTTACATTAATAAGAAAATTAATTTACATAATGTTACATTGTACAGTGGCATTAAGTGTCGTAATGTGCACCTCAGCCTACCCCTTCGGGGATAAAAGGTGTGATGTTATGTTATGTATAAAATAAAAATATATAATACCTACATACGACGCTAGAGAAGCTAAACATTGCCAATTTACCGCGTCATAAAATGTCCACAAGTAAAAAAAAGGGTAAAGGACCGTTTCTTTTTTAGTCTGCACCCTTTATACCCCTTTGGGGGATGTCAAAAGGATTAACCCTAAAGCCAGGGTTCTCAACGATTTCCAAGATTGTGTAATCAAGTAAGGTCTGACAATCTAATAAGGTTTCGTCATCTAATGAAGTCGTTTTTTTTGAGTTCTTATCCAAAAAGTACGGTTGTAAACTGATGTAATTTGCTTTATTTTTGTTAAATGTTACGTTACTGTATTGTTGTGTCACTGAAAGAAATTTTATATACTGAATTTGTATTGAGATGAATATTAAATACTGAGCCTGCCGCGGTGGCCCAGTGGTCTCGAAAATAGAAATTTTGTCTAAAATAAAAATCTCAAGTAGTAGGTTGGAGTCTGGAATTGTGCCCGGTATATGGTAATGGTATGGTAGGCTCACCCCCATTACATGGGACTCATAACATGACAATGCCACTAGGCATTAAGTCCGCCATTGTATACAATGGCAAGAAGTGTAAATAAATAAATTAATTAATAAAAATCAATTGTCCTATACATAGCACAATGATGTTCAATAAAAGTGTATTCTGCATGGGACCACGAATTTATAAACACTTACCAGAGCACATACTAGATAGTATATATAACATACATTACATAATAGCGCACTATTATTATATTATATGCTTCACCTGTATTATGTACTTATTACATATGTTTGCAATAAATAAATTTGACTTTAACTTTGACTTTGACTTTGAAAAATAGTGAAAAGTGGGTGTTAAAATACATAACAGTACAATGTACAGTGCCATTAAGTGCCGTAATGTGTACCTCTGCCTACCCCTTTGGGGATAAAAAGCGAGATTTTATGTTATCAATTAAATATATTTAACGATTCAGAACTTATGTCTATTTCTAAATATGTAGGTTTCAAAAACGCATTCAACCAAAAAATACCAAAACTCCTTTCGAAATAAGATAAATAAAAAAAGAAACGTTTTTGAAAACACCATTTCCTCAGGTGACCGGTCACAGCAAAAGTCGAGTTCAAAAAATCAGAGTTTGAAAATTGGAAATTGGAACAGCATCGAGCCGATGGGAAGCTAGTAAACTGTTTTTCTCGAACGTAGAGAGAAACTCGGAAAAGCCATGTTTTTGACGGCGGGTATGAGCAGTGAAAATTGGTGTGTCCAGCACACGCTTTGAAAGGAAACTGATTTTATCCAAATACACAGAGAATTTAGGATTTGTCGGGTGTATGCGGGCTGCTCGCGAACCTCTACCGTGCACAGATGCTGCAGATTGAAGCAGGGACTTATTTGTTCTTTTTACTGGAGCTAGATCTAAGCTTGGGATGTGATAACGTTTATATTTTTGTCTATCTTGTAAATTGTTGAAATGGAAATCATTTTTCTGTAGGAGAACAAACACTATTCAAGTCAAAAAGTAAGAGGTGAGTAACCTAAGTAGTGATTTTTAGTTAATTCCATATGTCTCACGATAATTATTATAAAAACTATTCAAGTTGTAGTTGGATTTTGCAAATTTTATGACTGATAGTCAGTGATGTACAAAATAACCAATACAAAGTATCTGAAATATAAAATGTTTAAAATTAAGTATTTCAGATACCAGATACATAATACTATTGACATTGGTATCCGAAGTACTAGATGAATTTTATTTTTATTGATAAAAAAAATTCTAAACGTATGATATTCTGAAAAAGTATTTGTAAAATACTAAGATACAGAATGAATGTGTTTAAATACAAGCTATAAAATGAAATTTTAAAAAAGTATTTCAAATACTAGATCAAAATACGTATTTTGTATCTTGTATCTGTAATTCAGATACTTGTATCTATATTATAGATACTTGTATCTTAAATAATTCACATCTCTGCTAATAAGTCATGGATACTTTAAAAAAATACAGATCACTTTTTGCAGTTATCCCTGCTAGTTATAACAAGAACAATCATTTCAATAAATACATTGATAAAAAGACTGGAATTCTTTCCCAGAGCCTGTATTTTCTGAAGGATATAACTTGAGTGTCTTCAAAACCCGAGTGAATAGGTTGCTTATGGGACGACGTTATCCATCGTAGTGATCACCGCATCATTGCTTACCACCAGGCGAGATGGTAGTCAAACGACGGCCCATTTTTATATATATACCTCTAATTCTTCTGTGAGTGTGTATGTCACTAAACTTCTCTCAAACGACTGGACCGATTTTGATGAAAATTTTTGTGTCTGTTCAAGGGGATCTGGGAATGGTTTAGATTCACAAATCAGCCCGGCAGATGGTGCTGCAGTCGATGTTTAGGTTATTTATCCTAAACAGGTGTTTAGGATAAATATAGAACTAATTTGAATGAATTTTTGTTTATACATTCAAGTGGATATGCAGAACAACGTCTGTTGGGTCCGCTAGTCACATATAAAAAAAGACTACACAGACATTTTTCTACACCAGCATGTCGTACCTGCACAATATTCCAGTATGGCACGATCTTGGCGATGCTCTCAGTGACCTCAGAGCAAGCGGTGCCCAGTAGCATCACCATGCGAGAGTCCCTTTCCGTGTACAGAGCGTGGAAGAAACGATCCACACCCACTCCGGGGTCACACTGGAAAACAAAAGTATTATTAGAAATTACATTAACAAATATTAAAGGTTTTAGTGCAAATATAGGCAGATCTGTGTGCACCTCTGCCTACCCCTTCGGGGACAAAAGGCGTGATGTTATGTTATGTTATAGGCAGATCTCAGACCGGAGTGATATCACGGCTTCACAAAAAATGGCCGTGAAACAATACTTGCGTCGTGTACGGGTTTTAATGGAATATAAAACTCTAATAACAAAATGCCTGACCGGGAAATCGAGTCGGGTTTCCCCCATTGTGCTCAATGAGTCAGTAAAATACTGTCCCTAGCGCAGTTCCGAAATATAAGTGCCATAATTAAAAAGACAATACGTCTAAATACACAATAATACATTGCTTGGGCATCGACCTCGAAACAGCAACTAGTCTAAGCCACAGAGTTAAAGTTAGAAATAGAATGCAACCCTTAGAGTTGCACAAACAGACAGAATAATTTAGATAGTGTCGCACACAGAGTGTTGGCGAATTAAACATCTAACTTTTAGAATGGGGAACTTTACGACAGTTCGTTGCTAAGAGGCTCGTCAGGGATGTACTTAGTATGTTGGTATGTACGTAATTTCGTCTTTTTCTATTGTGTCGCTTTATCACATCACTACATAGTATAAAACAAAGTCGCTATACGCCGTCTGCGTACCCGAGCGTACGGCGCGTCGCGTTCCGCGCGCGCCTCAAAGAGCCATCAGACCACCACAGATGGGGCCCAATACGGCCGATGCCGATTCGGAGTCGCGGAGAACCTAACGGGTAACCGGGGCTCCGACTCGACGTGCAGGAGAAGGAACGGGGTGGTTTTTAGTCAGTAAGAGTCTGACACTCCCTCCCGCCTCACCCAGGCGGGAGCAGTCATTCGACGATTTACTCTCTTTAAAAAAAAAAACGCCGTCTGTCTATTCCTATGTATGCTTATATATTTAAAAGTTTTACGCGACGGATTTTGATGCGGTTTTTTTTAATAGATGATTCTTAAGGAAGGTTTATATGTATAATATATGTATAATGCAGTGTGCGAAGCCGGGGCGGGTCGCTAGTTATTACATAAAAATAGTCGATTCTAGTAAAGTTTTTTTGGGTTTTTTATCATTGTGTCATGAACTTTCGCATTTATAATATTTTAGTAGGATATCTGTGAATATACTCTCGATACAAGAAGAAGTCCGTATCGGGTGGAAGGGTACATAGTCTCTTATAAAACACTGTGGAAAACTGGCTCTTATATTAAATCTACTAAAGCTCTTATTTGCTCATGGTAAGAGCTTTGATTCAAGGTTTTCTTTGTTCTCAATTTCTGGGACTGGTCAGCTCCAGACTGGATTTTTTGCTGTCCTTTAAGGTTATCCGCTCCGCTCACAGAATGGTGCACTATTTACTGGACACCCTGTATTTTCCAGCATAGCTTTTTACCTCTTTCTCTCAAAACTTACCTTGGTATCATTAGTAATAAGATGCAGCTTGTATCCTGGCAGTAGACCACGTTTATTAACATGGTCTACTGCCAGCCTTGCAGCAACCAGCTCGGAGACACCATCAGCTCTTGGAGCATCTCCCACTGACAGCTCGAAGAGACCCAGGATGGAGACGATGCGATTGGACTTGGCTTTTGGTAGGTCTGTGAAAGAAAGATATAGTTTAATAAGTTTTTTATATTGAAATATACACTAAGCCCAGAATTATTTAAAAGTTTAAAGTTTGCGTGGGAGAGTTATGTTGCAGCCAGAATGGGTCGGTTAGACTGTTAAATGTTTAGGGTAAGGAGACACGTCGTGATTTTTTTCCGCGTCCGCCACGGTTTCGGACTCACAGCCTTTGTAGTACGAGTTTAAAGTAATTGCAACGAGTACGCGTCCGGCGCTCTGATTGGTTGGTTTATTGGCGGCGGCCAATCAGAGTGCTGAACGCGTACTCGCTTCGAATACTTTATTCGTAAAACAAACTTGTACTAAGGCCTCAGATATGTATATAAAAATTAAAGTATATTTCGCGACACGTTTTACGATCGCAGCGTGTGCGATTGTTTGCGGCGCTCGCTGCACCGGCGGGCGTCTTGTACCGGCAGGTACAAGACGCCCGCGCAGCGGGTTGCACCCGCACGCACACTCTTGGTTCGATCGGTGGGCGATGGCAATGGTAAGCCCGGTTTAGAACTCAACAAATTGTTTAACTGCAATTTTTTAAAATTAATCAACGGCCATCTTTGCGGGTGATAAACGCAACCGCGGCGGCTACGTAATCGCAGAAAACTGCTGTCTCGTGAGTTTTGCAAATATGAAAGAATGGAGCTTCCATTCTAGCACAGCAGCGGGCGCTGATAAAAATTGTGATGTGAGTGTGTAGCGTTACATTGTGTTTTATATTATCTTCAAAACACAAAAAATATGTACGACTGCACGATTGGCAACTGACTGCCGCGCAACGTGTCGCGGGTTCGATTCCCGCACGGAACAACTCTTTGTGTGACCCACAGATTGTTGTTCCGGGTCTGGGTGTCTTAAGTATGTGAATTTATATGATTGTAAACGCACCCACGACACAGGAGCAAATCCTAGTGTGGGGACGTCCAACGTATTTAAAAAAATAACTTTTTTATTATTTAGGATAAAACTTATGACACCTTGACCTTGACTGAATATTCTATACACATGGACACTTGATATCCTTTACAAAAAACTTTTTATTATATTATCCATTACCTAAGTTACGCTTATGACATTACTCCTTGACATTGACTAAACACATAGACACTTGATATCCTCTCCTAAAACTTTTGTTTATATTACTATTGTATTTTTACT